CAGGACCTGCGGGTGACCTGGGTGCTGGTGGGTGCGGGGTGCTCCCTGGGGCACAGGCAGCCTTTGAACGCAGCAGGTAAATGTTCCCTTTGTTCTTTGCCGGCTTTGTGGGTGCTTTGACCTCTCTGCAATGCTGTTAGGAATTGTCAGAAACCTGAGATGAGAAAACACTTCAGAGCAGCCAATCCCTCTGCCAGTGCTGGGGCGGATTTGCAGCGGGTGACGGGGATCACGTTTTCCCAGGGAGATGCAGGTTTTTTTTGGGGAGAACCGGGCTGGAGGTACAGCCCCTTCCCTTGGAAAATGCCGCTTATCCCAGTAAGGACGTGGCCGGGCTGCGGGTCTGTGTAACCACAGGCTGAGGAGACCACATGCCAGGTCCTCTGCATTTCCTGACTGCTGCTTACAGGGTGCCCTGTGCCTCTGCTCCTGCTCTGGAAGGAGCAGGGAGAGCTGCTGGCCGGCCTGGGGCTGGGATGGGATGGGAGAGGGGGTCCCTGCTCTGCCCGGGGCGGGGAGGGCAGGCAGGTACACCCACACCAGCGTCAGTGCCTTACGGGGCTTTGCTGGCGCGATGCAGAGAGGGCTGAGTTTGTTTGTGTGAATTTTGCATCCCCCTTGCTCTCCCCCTGGCTCCAAGTCTGATGTTCAGGGCAAGCAGCACGCCGGTGGCCTGCTGCCAGCGCTTGCGGCTCGGCCTCCGCCAGCCTGGCCGCGAGAGCGGCAGCCCACAAAGCCAAGATGGGTTTGGGCTGAGCAAAGCCAGCTGGGCTGCAAAAGGACTGACAGCTCAGAGCTTGGCTTGGCCTGGATCCACAGAGGGATTTAGGAGTCAGGTTCTCTCCCATGTGCCTGGAGGTACCTGACAGCCTGGGAGGGTCCCAGAGCCCTGGGCTGAGACCTCCTTTGGCAGCAGCTCAGGAAATCCCAGCAGGGACGGAGGCAGCAGGAGGGTTTGGGCTGAGCGGGTGCGGGTGGGGAGAGTTCAGCTCCTCTGCAGGGTGCTGGGCTGCCCTCCTTTCTGCTGGAGGAGATGGGATGGGGTCCAGAGCCCTCCTGCCTGTGGTGATACCTGCTTCCTCTTTCAGGCAGAGATTGTCAAGCGGCTGAGTGCCATCTGTGCCCAGATTATACCTTTTCTGACGCAGGAGGTAAGGGGGGAGGCAGGGGATGCACACGATGCTGCTCGGGCTTCTCTCGAGCCCTCGAGAAGGGATGAACCCAACTCCAGCCCAAGCAATGGGAGGTTTGGGGGGGAGCAAAGCCTCTGTACCTGGGCTGGAGGGACAGGAGAAGGAGTTGGAAGGACCAGCCCCGGGCAGCTGGGGCGATGCTGGGCTGTGTGGTCCCCGTGACCAGGATGCAGCGTGACCTCCCCATGCTCTTCCTTGGCAGCACCAGCAGCAGGTCCTGCAGGCTGTGGAGAGGGCCAAGCAGGTGACCATGGGGGAGCTGAACAGCATCGTTGGGGTGAGTCACACTGCCTGGCCAGGGGAGAAGGCTCCTTCCCACTTGGGAGTTCAGACCACGCAGCACAGTGATGGGGGAAACCGGCGTCTTTACTGCTTCGATGAGCCCAGGGCTGGTCCCTGGGGTGAGAGGTTTGACTCTGTCTTCCAAGGTGGTGGATGCCTCTGGGATCCTCCCTGGCCCCCGCCGCCCTGAGCAGAGCAGGGCAGAGCCGTGGCTTGGGCTCGTATGCCATGTGTTGGGATCACATCCACAGTGGGGAGGTGCATGAGGTGCCTGGGGTAGAAGGGACAGGCGATGTGGCCTGGACTGTGACAGCTCTGTCCCCCTCTTTGCCCTGGCCTCGTGTCTCATCCCATTGCGCTTTGCATCACAGTTCATGCAGGAAGCAGAGAGGTGCCGGGCATGGCTGCAGCTCTCTCCTCCCGGATCCAGGACCATACAGCAGCAGCTTCAGCACCTCTCCCACCACGCATCCCCCATCCCGCTGACACCCCACCCCTCCAGCATGCAGCCTTCTAGCCTGAGCGGGCTCGGCAGCACCGCGGGGCTCCTGGCCCTCTCAGGGGCATTGATGGCACAGGCTCAGCTGGCTGCCAAGGACAGAGTGGCCCAGGATGGGGAGCACAGAGGTAAGGAGAAGAAGCACAGCTGGATTAACCCTTCGAAGGCTGGCTGCATCAGTGCTGGGCAGACATCTCAGAGGTGCACAGGCAGCACTAGGAGGGATCCTGCTGCCTGCTCTGCCTGTTTCTCAGGGCTCCTCACTGCCTGGCAGCTGCTCCCTGGGGCTGGGAGGGTGGCAAGCTCTGCAAATGACAGATACAACTAATTAAATATCCACAGCCCCAGGAGGCTGGCTCTATTTCTGACCCGGGGAACAGCCTCTGTGCAGTGACAGTGTGAAGCAGTGGGGGGGACGGCTGCGTGTGCCCCCCAGATGCTGAGCAGCAGGGCTCTGGGCACGTGTGTGTGCACACATGGGTCTGCCTGCTCCTCAGGGTATTTCCAGTGTGTGACGGTCTCCCCTCCACAAGGCAGCTGGGAGGGCACGAGATCCTCGACACAGAGAAACTGTCTATTTACACCCAGGTTTACACCAGGTAAAGATCTGATGCCTGAAGCCAAGACTTTAAGGGAAAATACTGTTGCAAGCCCTTGATAGAACCTGTGGGAGCCGTGGGTCTGTGGCAAGGAATTGAGAAAGCAGAGCTTCACTGCGTGTGTGGTGCCTTGTAAATAGCTGTAATTCCTTACCCTATGGGTGCCTCCTCCTATCAGGATCACAAAGTGCTTTACAAACATCATCAATATTTAATCATTGTTAAATCAGTACTCTGAATGGTACTGGCAGGCCTGGACCAAATTAATAACAGCCAGCTTTGCTGGTGGCTGTTGCTATTGAAGTGCTGCATGAAGGAGAAGCTGCTCTGAGCTCAAGTCACCCTCTGCAGAGCGCAGGCGTTGGGTGTTTTTGGTGACAGGAGGACTGAGGCAGCAGACAGAGGCTCGGGGCAGCTCTGTGGGCTGGAGACAGGCAGTAAAACTCAGCAGCCGTAGCCCTGCTCCTCCAAATGCCTCTGGGGATGGTGCTGGCTGTGCCGCTGCTGGGACAGGTCCCGATGGGGATGGTGCTGGCTGTGCCGCTGCTGGGACAGGTCCCGATGGGGACGGTGCTGGCTGTGCCCTTGCTGGGACAGGACC